CAGAGACCAGGGGTATTTTCTGCCCCAAAAGGGATGGTGGGCACCCCACAAGGTGGTGACCCCGTGCCCCCCCCCCCAAGTCCATGCAAACTTGGGCTCATCTTCCCACCTTTTGAAGAGTTTTGGATGCGTTTTCCCAGGGACACGCGATTTGTGGGTTAATTGCTTTTCCCACTGCCTTTTGTTAAAAAGTTTTAGTGCTCTTCCTTTTTTTTTAATTACTTTTCGTGGGGTTTTGCTAGTGGTTTTAGGGTTTTAGCAAACTCTCCATCCCCTCCCCGTTCCCGCTGCCGACCCCAAAACCTGCCCCAGCCAAAATTTGTGCTCTGGTGGGACCAGGCATAACCCAGGGAGCAAAAAAGAGTTTGGGGACAGGGGATGGAGACACAGGGGGACCCTGAGGCGAGGCAGGGGGAGCGGGACAGAGCCCTGCTCCAGCCCAGGGACCGAAATAAACCCTTGTTTTTCCTGTCCTCTTAAGCTCAATCAGTTCCTAAACCCGGATTACAAACAAGCAGTGACCTGGGGGCAATCACCAACGGCATCCGCCACCCAGGGGAGAGAGAAAAAACCAACAAAAAAACAACAAAAAAGTGAAAATAAATAAATAAATTTAAAAAAAGGGATGGTAATGTGTAATTACAGCTTGAAGACGTGCAGCGAGAGGTGGCAGAGCTGGTGTGAGGCCGAGGGGTTGAGTTTCCCTGCCATCCCACCCCACCACCAGTGATGGTGCAGAAGAAGCCCCCACGTTTCCAGCCTTGGGACCCTCCGGAGCCTCTTCATGTGGCAAAAGATGGGAGCAGCGTGTCCAGATGGAGGGGAGGGAAGGGGCTGCAGGAGACCCCCCCAAGCTCTCACCTTTAGTGCACTCAAAACTCATTCAGGAGGGAGAAAGACCTCGTGAACATCCCCAAGCCACCTTTCTTCTCCCTCCCTCCCATATTCACCTCCCGGTTTGGGTTTGGGAGGACCCACAATTTTCTATCTATCTAAAGCAAAACTCTCACCGGCCTCATCTTCCCCCCC